TCTTTAATAGTATTATTTCTGACATCCAAATGTGTAAGTTGAGGGGCATTTTGGGAAATATTGAGATTGTTTATAAGATTATGAGATACATTTATTTTCGTTAATTTAGGGAAATAGATAGGTAAGTACCAAGGAAGACTGTGTTGATTATGTGAATAATCGACTTCTTCTAAGTTAATTTGTTCAGGATACCCAAGAAGACACGAAATTCTATTGAAGGAACAATTTAATTTTCGGATAGAATAAAATCCCGGAGCAATAATACAGCCTTCTAAATTTTGATTGCTAATATCTAAGTTAACTATTTCTTCTCTTTTTTTCCCATAATTCTCTTTATCATCTGTTCTTGTACAAGTCCCGCTGATAGGATAATTTAGGTCAAACCAAGGTTGTCCATTTACCATGCTTTTATTTTGTTTATTATATACTAGAAAACAGATTAAAAACTGTTATCAGTCTGGAACGATCATCTCAACTGTGTTATTTAAGTATTTGCGCAAGTGATACAAACCCGAATATGAAAATTTTCTATATAGCTAACTCAAAATCTCGCTTAGGAAATCACCTTTTGCATTCTGATAAAATAAATTCCTAGCCAATTTTACTATACGACGTTTCTTACCAAACCCTGACTTTAACTCTAACGCTGATCAAATTTCACATGCTTTTAGCGAAGGTAATAAAAATAAATACAGTATTTACTACTGTTATGTATCAATTGCAGAAATAAGTAAAGAGCGTACATTTATGGATAGTATGCGATTTCCATTGTGCCTTGCTTGGACAATTGCGATTCACAAATCGCAAGGTTTAAAATTATCACAAATGTATTAGACATTTTAATAAGGAATTCGGTACAGGTCTTACGTTCGTGGCTGTATCAAGAGTCCGTGTTTTTTCAAATCTTTGTTTAAATAGTACTTTCTCTTATAATAGATTACAAAAATTGGGAAAAGTATACGTTTGCAGCAAAGATTAGCTGAAGAGCAGAGATTACTTTCTTTATAATTATTAAATTGGAGTTTATGTATTGAGCAAAAGTATAAAAGCACTACCTTTACGTTTTAATAAAGACAGCTTAGCTAACAGCTCAGTTAGAGTTCAATATTGTTTGGCTTTACTAATCCCCAATAAGTAAAATCTGTATTAACGATAAAATTAGTGACTAGATCCTGTGACTTTGTATGGAGACTCTTGACGTAGTCTAGAACTCTAATTGATCCAGTTACTCGGACCAAGTCTTTTCACGCCTCGACCGAAGCATTACCATTATTAGGATTTAGTCAGAGTTGTTTAGTTTATATTAGTATAGTGTTGTAGTGATTCTTGTATTGGAAGGCAAATTTGCCTTTCCCAACACACGCATTAATATAAATTTATAAAAATTTGCTATTTAAATTCTAGTACTCAGTACTAAACATTTTATTTTCAAATTTAAGAACCTAATAAGTAAAACTCCAGCTCTATGAAACTTCGCTGTTTTATTATTAGTCTATATTACTAATCATACGCGAGATTTGAATATTGGAACCTCGACATCACCATTAAGTTTTAGGGGGTAGTGTCACTATTGTTTGGGAGAGTTTTTACACAACTGTATCTGCCAATTTAGCCCCAATAGTTAACTTATATTTTTTTTGTAATAATAATAACGATAAAATAAATAATACAATTGATTATAATAGCCTGTTCACGTGAGATTACGTAATTAATCCGAGATCGAGCTCTTAATAACTATTGATAAGCAACAAATCAGGTTACATTATCATAATTAAATTGATAAATCATTACGATAGTTAATCCCATAGGAAGACTTGCGTATGATTGATGTCTAAGTCTATTTAATTTTACATTATTTATACAGTTTAAAGTACTTTTTAAAAAAATCAAACTACGAAAACTAAACAAAAAGAGTATATAATACTGTATATAGTTATTGGGCGCGAAGCTACCAATAAGTGTACATTATTGGGCAGACGACAAAAAATAACGGCAAATTGTTTTTTTTGTCGGAATTAATGTCACTCCATGTGCTGCGTAGCAGCACATGAGTGAAATTAACTCCGATGAAAAAAACAATTTGCCGTTATTTGTCGTACGTATGCCCAATAATGATGTTATCCGATAGTTAATATGACCATGTGAAGTTTTCTCCGTGATATTTTGCAAAACTGGCTACGTAATTTCATGCAAAAAATATCATGGCAAAAAAATTCACATGATCATATGAAATGTCGGATAACTGCAGTTATTCGTCAAAAATTTTGACGAATAACGTTCTTATTCATTGGTAGCTTACATGCCCAGTAACGGTAATATCCTTCTGGCCATGACGATCTGCATGAATTTTTTTGTTTACTATAATATAAAATTTATATACAATAAATATGTATAAATTTTATACATTATGTTAGATAGACTGACCCAAATGTACGAACTTCTGAACTGAATAATTAAGGTAATGAAGATCCGGTAATATAAATATGTAATTTTGTAATTTTTTTGTTTTATATAACGATAATAATTAGCGCAATTAAATATTTCTACTTAGATTAGCTCAAACGAACAAGCTATTGAACTAAGTAGTCAAGATAATAAAGACCTGGTATTGCAAATATGTCAAATTTTGGTTTTTTTTTGTTTAATGTTTTACAGTATATTTATTGATTTTTTTTTATTTCAAGACGAATCCTGATTTTCAAACCCGTACCCCATTATCAGATATTCAAACCAACTCTGTTACTCAAACCCGTTCTGGTATTTATGGTCCCGATACCCTCACCCTAACGCAATCAAAAAAAAACCCCCGACACTTTGGGTAATCAACTCTTGAAAAGTAAATTATTCATAATTATTACATTATGGCTAGTACTGTAATTCTTAAATAAATTAAAATAAGTATACGTAATATAATCAGTATTATAATATATTTGTATAAATTGTTTAATAAAGTTTAAATTCCGACACGTATTATTAGAATTTTAAGTAAAAATAATTATAAAAAGTTGCAGGACTCCATCATTAAAAATAATCACAATCATTATTGGTTTTAAGAAGTTAACATAATAGCGACTTCTTAAAGATAGATAGAATTAGGTTATTTCAATGTTAAAAGGGATTTTGATTATTTTTAATAGTGGAGTCCTACAACTAAGGATCGGACACTGCGTATGCTGCGCAGTGTAATTTTTATATTCAGGCCAGATGACATAATTCTGGCCAGCATTATGATGTAGCTTGAATTAGCCAATCGGAAATATAAATTTGGTCATTCCCAGAAAAAAACAAAACACGAAGGTAGGGTTGTAAAATTACGGTAATTTATTGTAAGTTACCAAAATAGTGAGCTACTGGTAAGTTACTGTAAGTTACCGTGAAAGTAATCTGTGCTTTATTCCAATAGTCTCCGTGTTTCATGTCCGTTAATTGCCTACCATTACGAAATTTCTGATAATGTTCGGACTTTCAAATGAGTATTTGGTATCCTACCATAACAACGCCAGGGCGTAGGATCGATTTTACTGTCACATGATTTTCCGACGTCCATCAGCCAATCAAAGTTCAGGATCAGGTGTAACGTAAAGAAATCAAAACAAACGTTCGCTTTGCATAAATCGCATTTATCTCAAAATTTAGTGTAGTAAACCGTCTTTGGAGTCCT